TTTCAGTATTATATGTATTATATTATTATTATTATTATTATTATTATTATATTATTATTATTATTATTATTATTATTATTATTATTATTAGTTATGCATTAATATGAACTCAGTTTGTTGTGCTGTAGCTGGTTGAGGTAAAGGTTGTTTTGTTGGCTGTATTGATCTATAGCAAGGTAGCTTGAGCTGCAAAGTTGTAACTGTAGTAAAGTGTAGTAAAGTAAAAAGTACATCTTAGATTTAGTGGAGTAGAAGTATAAAATAGCATTAAAAGGAAATATTCTAGTAAAGTACCTCAAAATTGTACTTTGTATTGCTACCACTGTCAAAGCAACTACTCTAAAAAATTTCACAGTATAATATATCTGATCTATTGTTTTGTATATAAATCCATTAAATTTATTCATTTTTACCCTTTTTGTTGTTTTTATTGATAATTATAACAATAATACTCCCAATATTAACTCTTATGCTACAATTAATGGTAATATATGACTTATATTCCCTTATTATTGGCTCATTTAAAACAGAGAGAAAATGTCAGTGAAGTCAAACTAATTCTTTCCTTTGAAACCATTTTCTGCACAGAAATTTGACGCCACATTGCTGTTATACATTTTTTAATTGTTAAAGCAGCTTATTAAGAAATATCTATTTAGAAAAAAACACAAAACACAGAAACTCCTTTGTTGTTTCTCCCTTTAATTCACATCTGCAGAAGTCACTAGTAGTAGCAGTCACACGTTTTCCCCTGAAGGTAAAGGAGACTGATTATGACCTTCATTATAATCAGACTGTGATTAAAACCACTTGACACTTCCATCCCATAACACACATTATGTTTAATCAACCAACATAAACTGTACATGGAAAAGAAAATTCCGCAGAGCACGTGTCCAACAACATTATCATTATACTTTTATTGACAATAATATTTATACATTTCTCTTGATAAATTAACACAAAATGAGCATGAAAACAAAACACCATTGTTTCAATTATTCACAAATAGCTTCTTTTTTTAAATCTTTTGATTAAGTAAAAAGTGCCTGATGTCTTGTGTGGCTCTTGTTAACAGGTTACACTCTTCGACATTTCTTTTTCTGTCCTTGATGATTAACAGTATCCAAACTATGTATTATAGTGCATAGAGTACACAAATGAAGAAAAGAATACAGCCAGTGAAGATTAAATATGTGTTTTCTGATCCCAAGTCTTCACTCTGAGATGCTGTTTCTGTAACGCACTTCTTCATCTGAATGTTTAGGCGTCCTTTAAAAGTCCATGTTTTTGAAGTCGTCTGTACATCTATACTTGCTATCATCGTAACTGGTGCACACCAAGTGGGGGAGACAGGGGCAGGTATGATGTTGCCTTTTGCCTGGATAGGGCACCTGAAAGTGGGAAAAGAAAGGGAGGGAGGGATAATCTGACAGTTTTAATCCGTCATCAGCTGACAAGTGAAGCTGCAGGTCTTAAAAAGCTGCTCTTTAAAAGTCTGGATTCAGAGACAGATGTGGTGTTAGCAGAACTAATTGTTGCCATTTCCAGATGATCAAAGTGATGTATGGCTCTGATTGCCTGGCTCACTGTGGAGAAGATCAATAGTCCCTGCAGCTATCAGCAGCTTTTCTAAAGCTTCAGCCAACCTGCCAGCATTTGATATAATCTGAATTTCCACTAACGCAGAAAACAAGTGTGGGCAAGAAGGAGAAAGAGTGTGACTCTGTGTTTGTGTGTGTGCGTGTAACAGAGAGTGTGATAACAACACATTTCTCCCCACCTTGTGGCTAAAGGGGTGGCATTCATCCCCTTCCAAACCTCTTGGGACGCACATCCTCAGACCTCTCAGCCATAGACTGACGGCACAGCAAAGACCAAAACCACACTGCACGTCTCGCTCACAGGCCTGCAGGAAAGACAAAGAGACAAGGTGGTGAGGTGCAGACAGAAAAGAATAAAAAAGGCAGAGGGGCAGACGAGGGGAGTTCTTTTGATGCCTGTGAATCAGTTTTATTTTTGTTTATGCTAATAGAGATGCCCTCTCATGTTCGTACAGTGAAAGCCATTTTATCCATTGCCTGTCATCTCCCTAATCCATTTATAAATGAATATCAATCAGAGGACTGAGTTAATTTCCTCTCGTTTTTCCAATGGACTTGAAGCGGAGGAGGATGTGGTCTCCTGTCAGTCATGTGTAATTAAATTTGAGAAAATTATCCCGAAAAGTGAACTGTGCTGTTTGCATAGTTTTTTATTTTATTTTGTATTTACAGCTTAAAAATTAAACAAAAATGCGAAAGTCAAGCGCTAGTTGTATTAAAAATAAACATTATATAAAGGTTTAAGTGCAAGTACAGTACGCTTCCGAAAGCATGGACTGAATTAGTGATGAAACAATCAGTCAATTAGTTAATGAAAAAGAACATAAATTGCCAATTTTCATAAACTAACTTAATTGTCATTTATCAAGTAAAACTGCCAAAAATTTGAAGGCTCCTGCTTCTGAAATTTGTAAAGATTTACTGCTTTTTTTTCTGTTTTCTGTTGTTGTTCCTTTAGAAAAAAAGAAAACAATTTGAAGACATCACCCTAGGCTCAAGAAACTTGTGATGGGCATTTTTCACTAATTCATGTTACAGACTTTTAAACAGACTTAATTGAGTAATCAAAAGAATGACTGACAAATTAAGCAATATAGAAAATATTTGTTAGTTGCAGCCTTAGTAGAAAAAGTATAAAATCACAGTGTGACAACATACAATCACAGAAAGAAGATAATGTAAAATGTTACTTCAAATTAGAGAATTAGAGCAAATCTGATTATATACTAATTTAATAAACTGACTGAGTCAGAAATGTCTCACTCACCCCTGTGATGACGGCTCCTTTAGACCAGCTCAGAGACACCAGGAGGAAGGACAGCAGAACCGCCCTAAAGCCCATGACAGCAACAGGAGAACTGGACTCAACACCCTCAGCACTGGACAACAGCTGTTAACAGTCTCTCTGGCACCTCGCACTGGATCCCTGGCTCTACAGTCAGTCATGAAGGTTCCCAGAACTCCTCAGAGGGGGGAGCCACACTCTCTCCCTCTCTTTATCCACCTCCGACCCCCACCCAACCCTCCCCTCCCTCCCTCCCCATGTCTGAGATCTCCCCACGCCCTCTCTGCCTGTCTCCTCAGAAGCTTCGTCATCTTATTCATCTGGGTGACGGCTGATGGAGACTCACAGTAGTCCCCTCTACTTGTAGATCTTTAGGGTTTGACTCGCTCAAGGCAGAGGCTGACAGAGCTTCCATGACTCAAGTGGTTCAAGCTGACACAGAAATAACGGAAAAGTACTCAACTACTGATGACATATATATGAACCAAAATTAATCCAACACCTCCATGAGAGAGAAAGGGCACAGGTGCCATGAAATCCACAGTTATTTGTCAATCTGATGCAGCAAAGACAAGACAAATCAACATCAGAGCCATATAACGAGTTTAGTGAAATTACCACAGGCTGACTCATGGACTGGGCTAAGCATTTACAGGCTAGGAAAGTGATATTCCTTATTTTATTATGGGACATGTTGTGTGCCATGATGCTATGTACTGTGACAGCTGTCATCAACTTTAGCAAAATGCTAGTTAAACCATATTGAGAAAATAAGGCCCATATTAAACACTTATGTTTAGTTATTTTTTTCTGGGTCTAAAATGATGCTCCTATTACTATTTTCCATTAATACACAATTTAATCACAATGCTAAAAGCTTTAGCAAATTTGGAGACACTCCTCTCTACAGCTCACTGACATTGCTTATTAAGCTACAGTGTCACTTAATGGATAACAGAATGTGAATAATAGGTCTTACGCTCTGCTGAGCTACATAAATAATAGTGAAATCCCTGAATTATATTAGCTATTATACAGTATATGGCAGGGTGATGATAGACTGACTCTGAGTCAGATCTCTATTTTGGGTTCAGCTCATTTGGAGATTTACTGTGGCTGCAAAGTCGCCATATGTGGCAAATAATGGGATGAAGTTTGAATGCCAACCTCTCTTCTTTAGATTAAAGACTCCTTTCATGCATTTGTGTGTGTGTGTGTGATGCACAATGATGTGTGTGTGTGTGAAGAAGACATCACGTGTGGACCATATAAATTATTCTGCATACATAAACTTGCACTGGTACGTGTGTTTGCCTTCGTGCGTGCTCGGACAGTGATGGGCAGCAGGTTGTCACCAGAAGCGTCCAGGCTCTGATTTAAACTGCGAGGAGAGAAATATGAGTGAGCAAAGAGGAGAGGAAAAGATAGAATTAGAGGAGAAGAGGGGAGGGGCGTACCCCATGGGTTAGTCAGCAGCAGGACATTACCCTGCTGCTGTGCAGGTGATGGATTCCTCCAATGCAGCGGCCACATAATTACATTCACCCATTTCTGCCCTGTCAGCAGGAGCACTGAAGCCTCACTGTCTTGGGACAGGCTGCAGAAATCATGCAGGGAGGTGAGCCCAGGCGCTGGCCTCAAGCTAACTTTTGAAGAAAACACATTAACAAAATCCATCAACAAAAGGCTTCAAGAAACAAGGTCCCTGCTTTATGCTCATAATATTAACACTATATATTTTATGTTCAATAAGGAACAGAAAGTTGTATCGTTCACATTATGTTAGTGAGTGTTATGTTGAATAATGTTTGCACCATTCAGGATTTTGCTTCTAGATCTGAGTGTCAAACAAAAACTTCATGTTTCTCCAAATAGGCTGTGTAATGACTGAGGAGCATGTGACACTGCAGCTGTTTTAGGCAACCTCAGATTATGTGTGAGTCAGATTGTGGGCCGCCTGTGCAACGCGTGAGAAAGAAACAGCATTATTAATAAAGTTTCTATAATCCAGAGGAAAAAATAACTCAAGTAATGTAATTTTACATTCATGCAACTCTGAATATCAACATCCATTTGTCACTGGGGCTGGGATGAAGAGAGTGACATGTGAATGATAAAATATAGAGAGGCAGGGTTTCATAACTAATCCAGTTTAGAAAATGATTTTTGCATGAGGACACAGTCGCATAGAAGAAGCCAGGAATCATAACTGCATCTACAATATATGAAGCTTATATATCAAATGCTTATAGCGGAATATGAAATCTCCCGAGGACAAACACACAAACCTGTAAGGAAATGTCTGTAGATGATCGGCCGTACTTATGCATATGAGTGCACATGGTTCACATAATAACACCCTATATACACATGTCTAAGTATTAAACAGCAATCTTTACCGTCACGTTTGTCGGTCTGTCCTGTTTATTATTATTTTTACCGCGCTTTGTGCGTCTTGGTCCTCACAGGGACCCTTCGCGCACGTGACGGTCAGCTGACGCCACCCGGAAGCTTCGAGGAAGCAGACAACCATAACAACAAAACTTCACCCGCAAAACTTTAATTTCCCAGTTCTTTAAGATCGTTAACGATGGAGTCGACCCTCGAGCAACATCTCGACGACACGTAAGTTAGCAGCAGACCGTGTTTGAGTGTGTGGTTCAACTGTGGGGATGTTGAAGGAGACTGATCGCTCTGTGTCTCTGTTGTCTGCAGCATGAAGAACCCAGCAGTCGTCGGGGTGCTCTGCACGGACCAACAGGGACACAACCTGGGCTGTAAGGAAACACACACTTACTTGTTATAGCGGAGGGTTTCCCAGAGGTATCGTTAGGGGGTCGGTCAGTAACATGGACGTACCGATGGTCAGCACCCGTGAAATCACACCAAACCGAGATTCTACATGTAAATAATAAAAAGGAGTGATGGTTAGGCTGCCATTGTTTTTAAACAACATCGGTCCACTATTTAAAATCGATGTGACTTTTTGATTTACAGTTTTTCCAATTGTTTTAAGCACATTTTCTTGCAAACACTGTTCATACTTAACTGCATCATAACACTTCTTTTTAGGCTGCACTGTTATATTATAGTATGGAAACTGCAATGTGGCATTATAATGAAGTCCTGTAGTTCTTAAGAATTTCTCTGGTCCACAAATCTTGTTCTCCAGATGTAAGAAAACATGTTTGTTGAGAAAAGACCCCAACACATTCCACATCATCATGATTTTAATCGTTTGTTCAGTGAAAATGTAATTTGTGATGCAAACATGATCATTCCCACACTGCTCATGAATCATACTGCAGTCCCAGTATCTCACTCACTGGAAGCTAATTGAGTCCAGTCTAATTGATGAGTTCCTCGACAGAGAAATGGTTGGCAGATAATTTGATAATTAATTGTGAAACTAATTTTTCACTTGATTCAGCTTCTCAAATGTGAACATTTTCTGGTATTCTTAGCCTTTTATGACAATCAACTGTATATGTTGTTTTGGACAAAATAAGACATTTTAAGACGTCACCATTGGCTGTGGAAACTTGTGATGAGCATGTTTTGTGAATTGAAAAAAAAAATAATGTGTGAATTCTTGATCATGAAACTAACTGTTGCAGTCCAACTCACAACATTTACTTCCTAAGTCAAAGGTGAATATATTCAGCAACCAGTCCATCACAGCCTTCTTTATATTTGCTTAAACCAAGACAGACAGTCATATGTTTAAATGACCAGTAGTCAGTATGAGTAAGACACTAAACTAGGTTTTTTTTTTATTTTTATATCTTCTACAGCCAACTGAATAAACTAATGTTATAAAAACACCAGTTTCAACAGCCTTCAACACCTTATATGTAACAGAAACTGGAAGTTAAAAAACAAAAATAAATAAAAACATGTCAAGAAAAAGAAGGAAAGGTAAAATGTAAATGAAACTTATATGACCATCCAGACACTGTTAGCTAAATTTAGAGTACTATTTACTCTTACAATACAAAAAATGTGCACAAGGAAACCTTCTCCTACATGTCTCTGCTATGACCTTCTCAAAGATGGACAGTGAGCTCTGTCCTCCCGCTTTCTCTTCCACCGTGTCAACATCTCTCACCAAACACATCACCTACAGTAACTGTCACTGTTGTCCCACTGATGGCCCCGTTTCGCCCCCCTCAGTGTGAAGTTATTACTAAATGTGTTGTGTTTGATAGGTGAGAAGTTGCACCTGTAAACTATATTTGACAACATGTAAAAGACTGCACACACATTAAAGGATGCCTGAAGTTGAATCTACAGTAAATATTGATCTGTTATCAATTCTTTTCATGACAGTACCAGACTACTGTTTTTTATTTATGTTTGATACACCCAGAATATCCAAATACAGCAGATGGATGGAGGCCCTTCAGTTGCCTCAGGAGACTGTTTCATAAGCACTTGCTTTGACATTGTCTTTAATTCTGTGCAGTAACACTCTTTTATATGTCACAATCACCAGGTCGTGGCTCCCTGTCTGATGAACATGGTGGCGTTGTGTCCGTTTTGGCCAAACAAGCTGCAGCTCTCACCAGAGACCCGACAGACTCTCCGACTGTGTGCCTGGAGTCTGAGTCGGGGTGAGCGCTGACACAAACTTTTGTCTTCTTTGCTTGACTGACTTTCAGCCTCTCCTTTTTCTCTCATCTCAGTGAATTTATGAGGTCTGACTGTAGTGGTTTTGATTAATACTTGGGGGGATCAGTAAATCTAGAGAAGAATTGTTGAAAGAGATCCAAAATCAGAGATGGAGGGTCCATTATTTGATTATTTGTACCTCACACTGTGCTCAAAGTGGCCAAAGTTGCCAGAGGAGTTCATTTTCATTTGTATGGCTCTGCTGCCACCTTCTGGACAAACACCTTCTGAACGTGTGCATGGGTATCAAAGATCTCACCTCGCACCTGTACTTATTATTAATTATTATAAGTATAAAAAAGACATTATTTAGACTGTTAGACAATATAGTGATTGTATTCATACTGTTGATGAGCCTCCTGCTCTGTTGTGACTCTGTAGGCTGCTTTCTAAGATTACAGTATTTTTCAACAAGTTGTAAATCAGTGACTTAAAGACTGGCACAGATATCGAATTACAAAACAAAATGTGACAGGTTGTTCAATTATCTAATCCATAATCAACTAATAGGTTGGAAAAAGTATTTCAATTTGGCATTGAACTAAAGTTTAAAGGCTATTTCTTTATTTTTGAACAATACAAAGAACCCAACAACATTCAGTGGCAGGATGAGAATGAAACAGCATTTACATTGGGCACAATATAGATCTATTGTTGGTGCCCATGATGATGACACTAAAAATAATTGTTAGTCATAACATCGTAAACAGTAAGAACACATACTTAGGGAATTTGTTTAAAGAGTGTAGTATTAATCAGTCATACAATAACTAGTCAAACTGCATCATATACATAATATTGGAGGTTAATGACAGGTTCATATGATTTATCAGTCAAATGCCAATAAGTGTAATCCAGAGATATTTATCAGTGTTAACTAATCTCTCTTATTTGTCTGTATATTGTTTATCATTAGTGCATTTTGTTTTTGTTTTGTAGAAACATTCTGGTGAGGAGTCATGGGACCATCACAGTAGCAGTTCACAAGATAGCGTCTTGAAGAAAACAGGACTCACCGAGGAGTTTTATTTTAAAGAAATGTAATGTAAACACACATATATAAATATAATGACACAACCTGAATTTACTTTCAGACCCTGTATTTAAAAACCAGAACGTGCTTGCTTAGTTTCTAATACTTGGAGTGTGATTTCTTTCTTTTATATAAAACATACTGTATTTGCACAGCAATGTGTCAGTAATGCTATTTTATTGATATAATGTACAAATAAGGCATGTTAATGCTTTGTATGTGTGTGTGTGTGCGTGTGTGTGTGTGTGTGTGTGTGCCTCTGTCGGTGTGTCTTTTTGTTCCATATCCTTAAATCCAAGGCAGTCATGCACAGAATAACAACCTTTAATAAACTTTAACTTGACTCCGTGCTGCCCTATTCCGCGTAAAGTATTCATTATTTTCTCCTTTGCTCAGTGTTTAGTGGTTAACCAATTAACTTTCTTTGGCAACTGCATGAAATTCATCACAGGAACGAAGAAAAAATACTTTGCAATCATTAGTGAAAGCTGCCATGATGAGTTATTTTTTTTCTCTGTTATGTTTTTATGTAAAACACTGTGAACTGCTTTTTATGATATATATATATATATATATATAGAAATATACTTGTCACACATATATTGACTATAGAAGAATGTAGGAAGAGGTAACCCTGGGGTGCCAGGTGTGTTGTGGTTTTCATGCACTGGGAAGATTTCATATCTCCTATCTGGATAATAATCGATGGTGACAGCATACAAATGCATAAATAAATAAATAAATACCTACAGTATTCTGCTGTCCTCAGCACATGGTGTCCTATCTGCGGTGCAGACTGACAGTGCAGTGCGTCTTGCTCGGTGGCGCACTGCCTTTGCCGAGGACATGAGTAAACTCGGTGGCTCTGATGTTTTGACCGCAGAGCTTTTTTTTTTTTTTTTCTTCCTCCCTCTGAGCCCTCAGATGAGGTTCACTGCTACGTCTCAGTCACGTGTCCCTCCTCAGTGAAGGCTTTGCTCTCTGCGGCTCCTCAGCACACAGCCAGCAGCGAGGCTGAAATGTGAGATGCAACTCAGGGGGACTCGCTCATAGAGGCAAAGTTATGGCACAATCATCATCGGAGAAAAAGGCCCCGCAGCAATTTCTCTCTGCCAAAAAGTCCCTCACTGGTAATGCGCACGTCTTTCTGGGACGCACCACTCCGGAGCGACAAAGCCCCAAATTACGCATCAATTTTAACTAATTGAAAATAGGGACAGGAACGCGTCGAGGACTGTCGGAGATTACAGGTAAGGACTTCTTTTTTTTTTTCTTTTTTTTTCTTTGCACATTTACATAAATTAACACATTCATCGTTTTGAAGTATTTGGTGAGTGAACAACAACACATTAAGATTATATTACTTATTATTATCTCTCTTTATTGGTGAAATATTTGTCTCAATAAACTTACCCCTCCCCGAGAAATCAATTATAAGTTATCCCTCAAACTGTTATCCTCTGTGACCCTCCAAACTCATTTTTTTGTTATTAAAACTTTTACCCACATTGCGTCAGTGCAGGTTCGTGCCTCTTTCAGATGTCACCCAGATGACATCTTCTTGAAATTGCCCGCTTAAGTGTCAGTGCGCCTGAATTCGCTTTTCTTGCCTTCCCAGCATCGTTGATTTGAGTGAGGGGCACGATGCAACAGGCCTGTGAAGTGAAGATAACAACTAGTTCACAGCTGCACACGGTGAGACCTCCCTGTTTTCTCCCCACAGTAATAAGGTTTTGCGTTTATGCCTCCGTGGGCTAAGCCAAAAGCTCTCAGCTAAACATTCTGCATTTACTACATAATCGCACAATTCCTCAGGACTGATGACTGGCATTGCTCAGGACTCAGTGCTGTGGTCACAGTCGGAGGCTCCAGGCTGTGAATTTGTGTTACCTTGACAGATGTCAGGCAAACAGAAATAAGTGAAATAAAATTTAAATAAATTAGTAAAACACAAAAGAGAAAGTTAGTTGGAAAAAGAATGTTCAAATATTTGTTAAAGTAACACATTGTAATAGCTTTTTTTTAAATTAATTACCTTAGCTTTATCAGTATTGTAAAGCCACTGAGTAATTCTTTCAAAAGAGTAGTTCAGTTAATGAAGCAGCCTAGTGATAAGTTCAGATATCAATGCATAATCTGCACAGAAGCAGGTTATTGGCAGGGTTGGAACAGCTCCAAAATCCTGAGATTTTTTAATTTGTAAGTAAATGAGTATCTCCGCAGAGTGTTTTAACTTCACAAAAAACATCCTGGCAGGATTAAAGTTTACACTTGTTCACTCCTGCTGATCACCTGCTCCACTGTGTGAGTTAACTTTTACTTTCTGCAAGCATAGTTAGAGTGTTTAAAAACCCTTTTACAAGCTTGCAGAGGGAGATGTATCATTTTACTGAATATTGCTCTATGGTCATGGTGTATACTGTATTTAATGGATCTATTACAGTGACATCAGCAGATGTAATGTGGTGGTGTGTATTCACAAACTACCCCCCTTTTTTTTTCCAGACTTTTACACAACGCAGACCTGAATGGTTCTTTTTTTTTTTCTAGTGTTGGCATTAAATGTGTAACTATTTTGGAAGCTGGATCTTTGTTTGATCCACTTTTTGTACATGTGGCTTGCTCTACCTTGAAGCTGATATTCTTGTCTTAACCCCCAAGCCACTGTGGACGGCCCTTTTAAAACGTCGTATTATTATTTTAGTTACCTAAAGACATGTCTGTGCATATTCTTTAAGTGTCAGCTTATTTCTTAAAGCTGAAAAAAAAAAAGATACAGTGAGCTGCCCAGCAACAACCATACATGCTTGTGCCAGGTTGACTACATATTTGTTTACGAAGGTTGTCTGTCATGCTGTACACTAAAATAAAACAGAATGTGCCTTAACAGGATGAAGCTGTTGACCTTCTTAATGTGTAGAAGCTGTTGGGCAGGTTTCTTAAAGCCCAGCTGTGAGCACAGGGGCGGTCTCTGAATTTCTGCAGGTGTGAACACTTTCCTCTTCCGTCAGGATGTGGGGAGAGCTCAGAATTCAGCAACAGAGGGACATCTGGCTAACTCGATATGTGGAGGCAGCAGGATGCAATATTCTTTCTAAATTTGTTGACCAAATATGTTAACAGCTCGGGCAATCAGTCACTTGTAAATATCTCTCATCAATATTTTTATATATTTAAAAGACAAAAACAGCAGGGGACAAAATTCACAGGCAGAAACTTTGAACATGTTGATAATTACAATAATGTTGCAGATTAATTGAGGTTATGGAACACTATTTTGGCAATTTAAGGGTCACAAGATTTTGTACAGGCTTTCCAAATGATGAATCTTAACTTTGGAGATCTCCTGACTTTTCTGCTAGCGCCACTTGAACTTAATATAAAATGGTTCAGTAATTACAGGATGGCAGTATTGTCAATACAGATCCACACTGTTGTTTGGAGAGCGCAACTCATCTGCGTTCAGGTTTCAGAGATGCGAGTGTGTGCACCTGCATCGATTTTTTTTAATGTCTTTTCCTCATGTTCTTGTGTCATTTGTCCACTTCTTGTTGCAGGTGTAATGCCAATCTTGATGCAGCCATAGTTACAAGTGCCCTTCGACCAACCTGAGAATGACACTAGGAGAATAAGACTCCTGAGTTTATTCGTCAACTCCAGAGCCTTCAGGCATACTACCAAATCAACAAAAGAGGTAACTCAGCCACCCCACCGGTTCAGTATCTCATAATATGCTGCTGATGCAATCACTGCTTAGATTAATTACTAACCTGAATTCACACACAGGGGTTACCTATGTGTTTCATTCCTTTTCTGCGTGTTTATTTTAATTTGCTCCCAACATTATATTACTCAATATCCCACTGAAGAAATACTCACTCACCTAATTCTGTGGTGTTTTAGTAATCCTTGGCGAAATTGTGCTACTTAAAGGAATCGTTCACCTAAAAATATTTTCCTGAGATGCTCACTCCCAGATTGTCAGGAAAAACAGAATCAATACAATTTATTCTCCTAACCAATAAACAAGCCTGTATGAATTAGAGTTATGCTGCATAAGTAGTTAGGACAGGTTTTTGTTGATGTTTTGTTTATAGAAAGTTGGTCTTAGTGCAGCACATACAAAGGTTTGCTTTCTGTAAAATATCACAGCGGAGCAAAATTTGAGAATAAGGACTTACAGAAGAAGAACATCTACACAGTTGTGCTGGATAAACCCAGTGTAAAAGATGAATGGAAAATCAAAATCCCCAATCCCTGAATCTAAAGTTCAGCTGAAGTTAATATGAGGCTTCAGCAGCCTGAAATAGTCAAATAAAGTGGGTATCTTCCAAAGTTATTGTCCTGTAACTTTGAAATTCCATCTCTGTATTCCTCTGGAACTGGAAAAGTTGCAGTTGGGCGATAGTAGGTTGAAACTCTGGAAGATCGCCATTTGACTCGTATTGAAATCAGCTGAACTTTTCAGTGCATTTTTGCACAAAACAAGATCTGGGGGATTTTGTCACTGGCCAGTATGGACAGTAGGAACAATTACAGCTTCCAAAAACTGTTTGCATGTACTTGCATGTATTGTTTCAAGAGAAAAAATGTTAACCAAAACTGTTAAGGCTTGTAAGTCCATCTGCCTTAAAAGTTTAGCTTACATCTGAAAGTATATGAGAAAGCATGCATTGTTTATGGAAGTGCACAACTGTTAATATTAAAATTACATTTTATCAAGTTGCAGTTTGAATTGCAAATTTAAAATTAAGAGGACATTTTCATAATTGAAAATGCATCTTACCTGCCAAAAATATTATAAAAGACAAAAACAACACATAATATAATATAAAATATACACACATAATTGAGTGTTCTTAAGTATATAACCGTGCCATAATTATAAAGACATTTGTGAAATAAACTTTATCTCACCATGTAAATATCAAAATGCAGTTTGTTGCCTAAAATTTAAAATTAAGTTGCAAATTGTTTTAGCTCGTATCACATGAAAATGAAATGGAAATTGCATTTATCATTTCAAGCACAGGATCCTCCCAGGCTTGTTGTTAGAAATTCTCGCAACTAGTCGAAAGGATATAATAACAATTTGGCTGAAACACAGCAGTCAGATGCCAACCTTCCACTGCTTGTCATTTGTCAGGTTGCCATCTCTGCAATGTCTGCAGGGTTGAGTTAAATTAAGCAGTAGTCTGGTTACAGGTTGGGCTTGTTTGTGCCAGGCTGAATAATAGCAAATAATTATCTTCTGTTTGTAAACTAAAAATATTGTCCAGGGAGCTGCTTCCAGATACTTTATGGTGTAAATGTTAACTCTTCTGTACAGAATTAATTGAACATGAGTGGGTGGGGGGAATCAAAGGCAGTGAAAACTCCCATTGTGCTCATGTCCAGGACAAACTGTGGTGTTCAGACAAACTTGGAATAGATGAAAAACATCAGCACACAATATTTTTCAAATTGATTATTTTATTACTGGTGTCACAGGTTTTCTTTTGTGTAGCTTTTGTTTGACATTGTGGGTTTTTTAAATATTGAATGTGGGCGTTTTGGCTGCTCTCTGACCTACTTGCCCCCTATTTCTCTCCTTTCCACTTCATAGTTTTCAGAACAACTCTCATACAGTGGATTCTATGTCTTCAAAAGTGATCTATTGAACCCTGGCCTGAGCAGGTGTGTGGGTTCGATTTTCTTTTTCTTTAGATATGAACTTAAAAAGTGATTGTAGTGTTACTGAAAGCACGGCTCCATCACTGAAATTTCAAGCAAAGATTACAAAGTAGTCACTCCCAAATGGATCAATAGGTCGAAACATTTACAGACTCACTCACTCGCTACATTTAAAGTTGATGTCTGATACTGTTGAAGGTTTGTTAACATCAGTAGTGTTTGTGAGCACAGGAATAAAATAGGCCTGCATTTACAATAATCACAACAAACACACTTCATAATATATATAAAAATGTATGTTCAACAAAATTATTGCCATATTAATTGGGTGTGTGCAGGGGCAATACATTTGCCCTGCTGCCATTTCAAGCAGTGGTGGTGGTTTCTAACAACTGAGGGATCATGGGAGGGGGAAGCATGAACCTCTGCATTCCTTACATCCTTTCAGTGAAGCTCAGTGCCTGTAGGTGAAAGGAAGCGGATGTTTCTGTTTTCTGACTTTTTACTTGTGTCCCAAATCTCTTCCTCATTCACTCACTCACTTCTCCCACTATAATAGACAATAGTTTTATTTGTAATGAGCAAGGAATTTACATTTCTAACACTATCTATTGCAGTCTATAAAATGCAAAACATTTCATTGTGGGATAATTAGCAGAAAGTTGTGTACATGCCATGGATACCTTTTTTATGTCCCATTGTTTTACACTTTACTTTAGCTCTTTATATATAAATGATTTTTAATGTTAATCCACGTCTCCTCTCATTCAAATGGTAAAAATCTAATTGATTTTTGTCTGATTGGTTGTAATTGAAACCTGAACTTCTTTGTTTAATACAGGATCAAATTTTTATTGAAATGGATGAGCCAATATAGCAGTGGAAGACAATGTGGCTTTAGGGCACTGTTGCACTGATTTTACGTCCCTGGACATTTTTTTTCTGGAAATAGAAAAAACATTTTTTAGCCACGACCAGCAGCTATATAGCTCGCTCTGTTGTTGGGTTGGGCAACCCACAAAAACTTACCCACCCTTTGGCGGCCACAGTTGCCATGGAGGTGTTTGAGAAGTGTTTGTGAGGTTGTGTGTGTGTGTGTGTGTGTGTGTGTGTGTGTGTGTGACTGCACAAACCTGTGGATGCGAGCGCATACGTGGTCGCAGCTATTGCGAATTAAATTATGAATTCTCCAAACTAGTGGACAGGATATAGTGACTGCTATGAACACATACTACACTGTCGCTTTTGTCCAGCTTCTATGTGGCTGCTGGCTCCAGCTTCATATTCAATGGACAGTTATGAGAGCAGTATTGATCTTCTCGTCTAACTCACTGCCAGAAACCATATAAGCATATTTCCCAAAATGTGAAACTACAATACTATATTGGGCCCTCATTGTATTTTGACATTGTGATGCAGTACCTATTGCTGCCAATGATTTCACACTATTCCTCTAATCAACAGCTGGCGATAATACGCCACAGCAATGTGCCAGCAAAGGCAGAGAAACGGAAGACTGCAAGCTAGTAAATATATATACTGGATTTCAAATACTTAAAACACTATCTTTGCAAATGTTGTATGAGTAAGGAAATGCACTCAGAATGCACATTTCTTAGAGCTCAAGGATAGACACAATGCATTTTGGTGAGCAACACTGAATGTAAACCGAAGCTTGTGTTTGTTTACAAGAAAAAGAAAACTCCACAGGGCCCCTTTAGGACTTCTGTTTTCAGTTTGCCCAGTCCAGACTTTGACTCATAAATTGGGAATTCAGAAGGTGGAGGTGTAAAGATCTGTAGTATAGTATATCATCAGTTGCTATCTGTGCTTTTTTCCCCACAGGAAATACTTTTTAAATTTAGACTGGATGCACAATGTAAAAGCTTGACAGAGAATCTCCTAGCGGAAGTGTGCAAAAACATGGTGTTAATACAACACTACAAAGCGCTGATCTCCAATCCCCCATCGCTCAAACCCTCAGACTCCCGGCACATTCACATCACAAACATGCACTCAAGCACACTCTGAGGACAACTTGTGAACAGCACATGGGGGGAAATACTTTCCTCACAGTACACAGGCCCAATTCATTCCCCTTTTAATCCGCTCTGTGCTCTCTGCCTAATTTGGTCTCGGCTTCTTATATATGTCTAAGTCAGACTGAGTTAGTGATGCAGGCTACAAAGACTGGTGATAAATACAAGTTTACTATGCCCTCTCTCCTTCTACTTCACCTTGCTTTCCAGAATGTGAGGCTAGACTACGTGTTGACAGACAGGATTTAACAAACATTCGTCTAATGTTTCAGTTATTTCAATTATCTGATGCACACCTAATCCTGAGAACCAGTTACAGATGTGTCACATCTTGATTTATTCAGGTTTCACTGACACTATTTAAATGCTAGTACATATTTAGTAACAGTAACACTCATCTGTGGAGAAGCTGGGTTTTTTGGTTATAAAGCATTGAATTCATATTAATTCTCCAATCTTTTAAAACATTAATTTAATTTTTTTGGTGGTAAACACTGTCGTCTCACAGCAGGAAGGTCCTGATTCCATATGTACTGCCTGGTAGGGGCTGGTTTGGGCCTTTTTGGGAATTTGCATGTTCCCCCGTTTATCTGTGTGGATTTGAATTGAAAACACAAACTGTCCAGGGGTGTGAATGTGACAGTGAATAATTATCTGTCTGTATGTGTTTAAGCACTGTCACATTGCACTTTAATCTTCATTCATCCTCCAGTTCAAGCCCATACAACAGACAGATTCAAGCATTTTCTGCTTTGGTGTGATCTCCTGGCAGGTTCGAGCTAACTACTTGAGTTTGTCAGCCCACAAAAACAATGCACTATGTCCGAAAATATGGGATGTCATAACTTTGTTTTGTACAAAGTTTCATTAGAAAGTTTTGTTACAAACCTTTGTTTTGTTTTTAAACACAGTTATGGCACTATGCTAACACAGTTTAATCAAGACAATAAATAATAGAATAGATAATGCAGAGACAGATTAATTCATTTTACACCATGCAGGTTCCCAGCTCCCAGCAGCTCATTTCTTTGCATTCTTTGGATAGATACACAAGATCCATCTGTTTCTGGTCAATATTTAATCTGATGTACTTTATTGCATTGCTTTATATTTCAGGTATAGTAGAATAATAATAACAATGGCTATTTTACCTTTGCATTGAGTCAACACTGCCTGTTCACTTGTATCTTAGCAGGTTAGTCACAAATAAGAGTTTCAACAATCATATGGGTGTATATCCCAAAGGCCTGTCTGTCACACACACTGACCAAAAAGCCATTACTTTTTATTTGCAATAATTTAAAATGTTAAATTCTGCTCAAATGCAAAGACAAAGTGGGGAGTTTCTGGGGAATATTATTTAACATAAATGTTGCTGAATGGGCAGTGAAGCAAGACAGCCACCATGCCGGTAAAATAACAGTGACTGCAGATGATTGGTGCACAGGACATAAGTATGAACAGTAAATAGCTGAGTTTGCTTATTGCAGTGAACAGTGCTGTTAAAGGCATCAAACTTACTCAATCCCTGCTGCTGTTTGCCCATTTGATTCATCTCTGAGCCTAACACCGCCCTCACACCCAGCTCTAGTTCCCTAATTGGGCTGCTGCAAAAGTTTTGATTATTTTAATTTGGACTTAAGTCTAGTTAAAATCTCAGCATTGACTAGTATTTGTCTATAACTTGTGTTTCATCTGAAATTATTTGAAATTATTATATATCTATATATATATCTATATATCTATATATATATATATATTAAAATATTATATAAGTATTTGTTCTTTTTGTGCATATTTGACACTTTTATACCTCGTGCATGAATACACAAAGTCCTGTATGTGTCTTTTGAACAAGGTTCATTAAATATCTGCTAACACAAGTCAAAGTATTAGGAGGAGAATCCTTTGGAAACAAGTTCCAAAAAGAGCTCAAAGTAATTCAATGGCACATGTTTGCTGTTGGGGTGCCAAGTCAAACGGCAGTACAGTTGTCTTACAACACATGCCCGAACAGGTCACTCCTGAATCCAGGAGCACAGGTTAATTTCACAAAGCTGCAGACTTCATAAGTTACACATATACCACATGGAATCAACACACATGGACACCAGAACATCATGCACACCAAACATGACATTTAGCTTAAAAAAACATTTAATTATAAATGCACTCAGTAATCCATTATCACCCTTTATGACCCCCTCTGCTATGTGCCAGTACAAACATCAAACTGCATTATCTTATAAATCACCACTGCGTTAACTTCAGGTTATTCTGATTTCTACAGTAACCTAACGTTGTTAAAAAACAGCTTTACTTAAAGGCATCCTGTGGACACTTTTCTTTTGTGAACAACAACATAAAGTTATGTTCATCATTGTTTCTTACCAAAACACATTGTTTATTTCTTAATAATTGTATGGAATATTTTTCCTTCCTCATAAAACATTTGCAAACCTGATTGTTTTCTTTACAGCCTTTGTTGGTGCCATGCTACATTTCTTGCCATGTTACAGCCACTTTCGTCCTTTTTCATGTGTAGGAGATACTACATTGCCCTATTGCGCTATAAGTGGTCAAAAACTCCAAAGGGTATCTTTAATCAGTGTAAAAGCTTAGAAGAAACCTTGTTGACACAGCTACATTTCTGCTGGAGAAACCTGATATCATGGCCATGAATACTCATCTAATACAGTTTTTTTTTTTTTTTTTTACAAGATTTGATATGACAGATACTTAAGATGTAAGATACTTAAAGACATGGAATAGATGAAATAGAAAAAAAATCATAACTGTAGTTTTAAGTTCATGTATCAAAAATATTTAAATCCCAAATCTGTGTAAAACAGCAACTTGACTAAATTCTAATCAGTCCTGTTTTCAGACTGCCTGGTTTCAAGTTGTCCAAAAGTCAATTCCTAGAAGCAGGTTTACTGGATAACTTTGCAAAACCAGAGCCAGATTTTTGTACATGAACCAGATTTGAGAGGGTTTCTAGGTTTTGCTCTTAGTTATCCATATAACTGCCTCTTGGAAAAAAGCCTCTTGGTTTTTGGTTCACAAATTGAAGTATCAAAGTTAAAACATTATCACCACGAAAGCAAACTTTAGCCCATCATGCCGAGGTCATGCTGTTATGTGCTGACAGGGAGCTTTGAGGTACACATGATTGAATATTTGCACTTGCCGTAACATAGACACACTTAATGTAAACACTGCTTAGACATTCAGTCCAGCGTACCATTGTAATAAGAGCAAAAGAGGTAGAAAATTAACCAGGTTTAGCTGTACTGTAACTGATCTGTTTCACAGCTCAGTGACTTAACAAGTTAATACAGCATTACTGTCTACTGTCTGTTATGCTTACAGGATCATTCTGTGCCAAGACATAATGATAACAAATCAATGCCAAACATCAGCAGTCTCCTCGATGCACAGGCACTGTAAAGAAGAAGAAATGAATATTATATCATTAGTTTTAGTTTGAAAATAATCAAGCTTTTCCTTTTGAGAAAGAGTTTGCTTGTATTTCTCCTCGAAAACTGTAACATGTTACACACTGTTATGCTGTTGTTGTTGCATTGAAACTAAGATATGGAGATTCACTGAATATACAAACAAATACAACAAATACAAATGAATTGAATGTCTTTTCCTTAAAAATGCAACAGAGAAAAGATATTAGATGTGGAATTTCTAAGTATTAACATTTAAATTAGTGACCATTTGAAAGACTTTGAAGGAAGTATTTTATTTTTTTATTTTCTATGATTCCTGTACATTGTCTTAAAATGCTGTGTCTACAATATGATGAATGCTTCTGATTGGGCAGACTGTAAGAAGTTACTGATGTTAGCTTGTTTGTTTTTATTCCATAGTGAAACCAAGACAGCCATGAACCTGTTCAGGAAGGATGCCATGACCACAAAGAAGGAGAAGGAAAAAGACATCCAGTACGAGGACCCTCCAGATGGAGGTTGGGGCTGGATGGTGGTCCTGCATTGCTTCCTTGTATGTCCACCTCAGTTGTTTACGATCCCTCATCTCTCATATATATTAGCAAATATTTAGCCCAACACTACAACAGCACAATGGTTCTTCAAAAGACTGGATATACTAGTTTTCCCAACCACTGTGATCAAATGCAGATGTATTGTGTGTAAATTCCCAATTGAATGGTAACAGCAAAAAGGCCACTTTTTAATCAGCCATTTAAAAATACTGAGTCCCTGAACACTGTGTAGTGCAGGGTATACACAGGTATACAGAGTATGCCCGGCATTGGGAGTAAATTAGGAGGTTCAGAATGAAAAGTTGACTATCACCATGGGCATCAGATCATAGGGATCTTTACTACATTGGGTATAGCCACTTCTAAATCCCCTCTGATATGCATTATTCAGTAGTGTTCTGCAAGCTTTTCTCAAGGATGGCAAAGGCACGACATAGTTGACCAATTTTATTGAGTGGATGGGTAAGGATTTAGGAATATTTCACTCAAAATGCATATTTTTGTCTTAGGCTGTGTACCAGTATTGATCTACTTTTGGGCTAACTAAATATATAAAAGCAGTCTTACATGTCACTGTGTATAACACAGGTGTTGCTGGACAGGGAGCTTTGAAATAAATTAGGGAATAAATTAAGAGTATACCCACATCTCAAGTCATCAGTACACCACTGCTTACACCTGAAAAACTTTGTATCACATGCAGTCTCTGCTATCACTGATTTCTTTCCCATTATTTGTGTGTGTGTGTGTGTGTGTGCCCAGGTAAATGTCCTAGTGATGGGAACACTGAAAAGCTTTGGGATCTTCTTTGTGGCATTCCAAGATGAGTTTGGAGGCTCGGCAGAGAGCATCAGCTGGATCGGTTCCATCATGTCGAGTCTGCGTCTGTCTGGAGGTTCGTATTGAACCAGTCCACAGACTGGATATAAAGATCATAACATCTCATCTCTTGTTCTTGTATAATTGTGTCCTAGACCTAGATATTAACTTTTTTCCCAGTGTCCAGCAACTGTCCTGAATACTTTTTTCAACTGTTGAACTATTACTGTTAACAACCATTGGCCCCAAAGTTCTTTCTTTCATTCTATTTAATGAGTCAGTGACATTGTATATTTTCATGCCGCTGCCACCTAACATTTTTCAAATTTGAGCAGCTAACAATTAAAATTATATATTACGTGACACATAAAAGTCATAATTTAATTTGTTATGATACATTTCTCTCCCGTCCTACAGAATTGTCCCAGACACTGTATCTTTGTGTCCCATGTGCTATTTTTATTGTTCCTGGGTTAACGGGACATTCCTAATTTCGAGCGATGGCCCAATGAATTAGTAAGAAGAGAGAAAGGCTTCCACTATGTGAAGCCACATTTCCTCCTGCACTGATGCTGAACAGTAGAAGAAGGAACATTTTGAGATTCTATGTATTCATGCTTCCTCTCTTGTATCGTCTGTAGCACCCATTGCCTCTGTGGCCTGTGCCAAGCTCGGAGCCAGGTTTACCTCCATCGCCGGGGCAGTGCTTGTTAGTGGAGGCTTCCTCATAAGTATTTTCGCCAACAGTGTGGTGTTCCTCTATATCAGCATGGGAGTGATAGTTGGTGAGTAGAAAACTGTGGTAAGCCAAAATACCTCAATGAGACACCTGCTACTTCTGTGATCACTCAAAGGGAAACCAAGGTCGTCCTCTGTCTGAGGACATTTATTTTAAGTCATTGAGTGTGAATGAATATTTTCTCTTGTCTGCCCACATTCCTGTGACAGACATGTCTGCTGTTTGATAATGATAGTCTTCTTAATTCCTCTTTAGGAATGGGTTTTGCACTACTATACCAATCCTTCTCAGTGGTCACAGCCCTGTATTTCCGAAAGAAGCTAGCCACAGCGTATGCGATCGGGCGTTCTGGGATGGGTTTGACTTTTGCCCTTGCTCCGTTCACTCAGCTGCTCCTGGACCAATACGCTTGGCAAGGTAGGCAGACCTGAGCAGGCAGTGTCAGACCCTAATGCATTTCTTTGATTGGTGCACATTATATAATATATGTTAGTATGTTTTGTGGTGTATTTCCTGTTTTGTGTGAGAAGAAATACAGCACATATATGTTGACA